GATTCCTCAAGGAAGTGAGCCACGCTCGGTGCTGTAAGCGCAGACTAAGGCCCAGGCTTCCTTTACGTAGAGGGAGTCCTTGAATTACGACCACAATTGGGATTTGAATTTTGGCCGTTGAGCAGAGTGCGGTCCCCACATGGCCGCTTGTCCCAATGACCACAGTCCTGGCACACCCCATTGTGGTCACTTAGTAATCTCGTGGGGGTCATTAAACCAGGGGAGACCCAGGTGAGGAGTGTGGAGTTTCCCTGGGCCTCAGGTAGCTCAAGGTTTTCAGTCCCTGAGCGGAGAGGCATTTGTTTGTGGCCCCTGCCAGACCTCTCAGCCTCCCCCCCCCGCCCCACCCAAGGCACCCCTGCTGCTCTCCGCTTGGATTTTGGCCCCCTCCCCTCTCTGGGCTGGCTGGAAGGGTGGCTTGCAGGAGGAGGTGGGCCCTGCTCCTCTGTGCAGGGAAGCGGTCTCCTTCCGCGGGTGCAGCAGTGGAGCTGAACCCTCCAGCCCCGACTTCCACCATGTACTGGAGTGCGGGTGGCAGGGCGGAGTTTTGCAACAGCCTGGAGCATTTTAAGGTTGTGGAGCCTCCTTTCCAAGGGGCTCATCCTTCCGGACTGTCCTTAAATGGGGGCAGCTGTACGCTGAGGATTGCCCGCTTTGGAGGACTCACGAGCTGCTTCCTAGAGAGACTCGGGAGTGGGGCTCCCCCAGGGCTGGGGGGGAGGAGGGGGGGGGCTTTGGGGCAGCGGTTCCACCAGCCTCTCTTTCCCGGCAGGATAATCGCCACCTGTGGGGAGCTCCTGCGACAGTGTGGGGACCTTGAGCAGCAGCTGGCCAACAGGTGGGCCTCCTGAGCTGCTCTTCAGAAAGGCGCAGGGTGGGGCCCGTCTCCCACCAGCGCGTGGCGCTCCTTTCCGGGCCTCCTTCCCCCCCCCCCAGAGCTTTGAAGGTGGCGGCTGTGGGGGCGCCCTCGGTGCTCAGGCCGTTTCGTGTCTGCCGCTTGCAGGGTCCTCTCCACGGCAGGGAAGTTCCTCTCGGAGTCCTACCGTCCCTGCAGCCTGAGCGGCTTCCAGGAGCGCAGCCCAGAGAAGCAGAGCCACCTGAAGAACCCCTGGCAGGAGTACTGCTACCTGCAGCAGGAGAGCCCGGCAGAGTACGCCGCCCTGCTGGAGACCCTCTACACACTCAAGGTGGGCGCGGAGGAGCAACCTGGGGCTGAGCTGTTGGATTACCAACCCCCAACCCCCCTCCCCACCCCACCCCGCTTTCTGAGTGTGTGTCCGGCAGGGGGCGGAGGGGACGGTCCCTCCCTCCCTCCCTGCGAGTGTTTGCTTTTCCTGGGCCCTTCGGAGTCCCTGTCGCCTTGCTTGCTTTTCCCAGCATTCTGTGCCGGTTTGGTTTGGTTTGTCAGGCAGCCTTAGAGAAGGGGTGGGGGTGGGGGGAGAGAATGCATCAAGGCAGGGCGAGTTGGACCCCTCCTCCTCCTCCGGCTACTCTGGGCAAGAGGCTCTGTTTGACCCTACTCTGAGCATTTCCCAGGGAGACAGATCCACGCCTGCTCTCGCTCAGCTGGCCTGTGGGGGAGGAGGCGGTGCCTCAGGTGGGCGTGGCAGGATGGAAGCACGGAGGTTTTGGCCCAGCTGCCCTTGGAGGCTCTTCCCTCTTTTCCGCAGTGGGCGCTGCCCTTTGCAAGGACGCTGGCAGACGCGCACACACACACACACACACACACACACACACACACACCCGCCTCTTTTCTAGAAACAGGTTGGGTACCATAAGGGTGACCCTCCTCCGGGCTCCGGGCTGAGCATCTGCTGCCTCCCGTGGAAATGAATAGGGTTCGGGCTGGGGGTCCCTTTAGTGGGTTCCTCCTGGGGGTCCCTTCAGGGGAGAAGCGGCCCAGGACCATGGGCAAGCTGGAAGCAGGGCGGCCGCAGCCATCACCTGTGGCTTCACGAGCTCCGAGGCCACGCCCGTTGCCCTGGTGTCCCCCTCAGGGTTGCTGGGGATGTTCCAGCCCCCGTCCCCGTCCACGAAGCCCCCTTGCAGCTGCTGTGGAGGGAGAGGACTCATTGGGGTGTTGCGGGGGGAGCCCGGCCTGACTGCCCCCTCCCTCCCCACTGCAGGAGAAGGGGACGAGCCATAATCTGCTCTCAGCGCCTCGTTCCGCCTTCACCCGCCTCAACCAGCTGGCCCACCAGCTGGCCTTCGACTCGGTTTTCCTCCGCATCAAGCAGCAGCTCCTCTTGGTGGCCAAGATGGAGGTCAGCAGCCAGGGGGTGGGGGGAGGGGCCCCCTCAGAGTCCTTGAACAAGGACTGTGGGAGAGGAAAGGGGGAAGGCCGCTCTGCGTGACACGTCAGGCTCTGCCTTTCTGCTCGTCCTTGACTTAGAGCTGGAGCGCAAGTAGTGCCGGCGAGATTCTCACCGACGACCTGCCCAACTTCAGCCTCACGCCTCTGGAGTACATCAGCAACGTAGGTGGAGGGATCCCCCAGGAAAGGCAGGCGCTCTCCGGGGCTCCTGCTCTCCGTCCGAGGCCGCTGTTCTTCGGCAGCCCTGGGAAAAGGGCGGCTTGCGAGACTGGGCAGCCTGGGAGGGGGAGGGGCTTCCTTGGTTGCTGAGCTGTGGCCCCTCGGAGTAGGGATGGATTCCTTTGGAGAACCAGAGCAGAGACGCCTCGGAGGGCTGCCCTGGGATGGACGAGGCAGCTCAGGGTCGGGAGGGTTGTTCTGGGAGCAACTGGAAGGAGAAACCTCGGGGTGACCCAGAGGCTGCAGCGGGGCTTGGCTGGTCCCCTCGCTTGGGCTTCAGGATGTGCCCTGGAGAGGAATGCGCCGGCTGCCTCCAAAGAAGTGGGGGACATCAGCAGAGTGACCCCGTTTTCTGCGGTGGAAGGCTGGGGCTGCCTAACCGCTTGCTCTCCTCCCTCCCTCGTAGATCGGCCAATACATCATGTCCCTCCCTCTTCACCTGGAGCCTTTCGTGACCCAGGAAGACGCAGCCCTGGAGCTCGCCCTGCATGCTGGGAAGCTGCCCTTTCCTCCAGAACCAGGTGGGGAAGGGCCCCGAGGCCAGCGAGAGGCCTTCATCCAAAGAGGCAGCTGCAGGACAGCTCACATGGGCAGCCCCCCTACTGTCTCTCTCTGAAGGAAGAAGTAGCTGTGGGGCAACCATCACTTGTGGTCCTCTTTCTCCCAGGCGACGAGGTCCCCGAGCTGGACAACATGGCGGACTACTGGCTGGGCTCTCTTGCCAGGGCCACGATGCAGACGTACTGCGAGGTCATCCTGCAGATCCCCGAGGTCACCCCGCACTCCACCAAGCAGCTGGCCACGGATATTGGTGAGGAGGGAGGATGCTTGAAGTGTGCGGGGAGATACCCGGGTTAGGTCCCTGCGTGCGGACGGGGCCCTGATGAGGGCCACCCAGCCCCCTCCCTGCTCCGAGTCCAGATTCCAGCGTCCCTGCCCTTAGGCCGCCCAGCTTCCAGCTGAGAATCTGCAGTGTGGAGGCAGCTGACTGGCTCCTGGGCTCCAGGGTCAGGGGGAATCTTCCTGTCTGGTCTGCCTCCCTGGATCTCAAATGCAAGTGATGCATTTAAAAAGGGGGGCGGGGGGAGGCTTCCCTTCGAGCCCTTAAGAGCCTTATTGCAAGCCATCCTAACCCTTTCAAGTGAAGGGCAGCCAGCACCTCCAGCCTCTCATCCCCAGGCTGGATGGGGCTTCCTTCCGTCGTCTGCTGGACGCAGGGAGGCCGTTGTCATGGGAATGCCCCCTCCCTTCCTCTCCTGGCGGTTTGGGGGTCGAGATGCTGCTTGTTCCTCTTACAGATTACTTAATCAACGTGATGGACGCTTTGGGCCTCCAGCCTTCGAAGACCCTGCAGAACACGGGGAGCCTCCTGAAGACCAAGCCTGAGGATTACAAGCAGGCGGCCAGAAATTTCCCCCGGCGCCTGGCTTGCAAAATTGCCGCCATGAGGGCCCTGGACTATTGAGCTGTGGGTTCCTTGGCCCAAGAGGGGCCCCCATCGCTGCCCCTGGCCAGAGATACACTGCAAGGGCCCCGGGGAGTGCCTGGTCCCCCTGTCCCCCGCCCGGTAGAGTTCTCTCTTCCTTGGGCGAGAGGAAAGAGGCCAGAGAAACCTCGGGTGCGTTCAGACAAGTTTTGTAAGTACTCAAATAAATCTCTTCAAAACAGGAGCCTCTTCCTGATAGCTGATCGAAAAGGGCATCGCAGCCAGCCGGGCCCTCCGTGTGGAATCGGGTCCGAGGGCAGGGGGATGGGAGGGAGAGTCCTGACCGGGGCAGCCTCAGAATTGGGGTTCAACCAGGGTCCCGCGGAAGTTGACCGGGATGGCTAAGAGTGGCCAGACTAAGGGATGGTTGTGAGGAAGGTGGACAGTTGCTCCTCTGCTGCTCATTCTCTGCTGGGGGCTGGCTGGGAGCTGGGCCCCTGGTGACCTCATGCTCAGAGGCCGGGACTCTGAGTGATGCAAGGAACCGGTCCGTAGGTGCAACCACAGGAGGCTGAGTGAATTCTTTCCAGCCAAACTCTTCCTTCCTTCCTTCCTTCCTTCCTTCCTTCCTTCCTTCCTTCCTTCCTCCCTCCCTCCCTCCCTCCCTCCCTCCCTCCCGAGCAATCCAGCTTCGCAGGGCATGCAGCTCTGGCTTCTCCAGAGCCCTAATTAACTCTTCCTTTGTCTGAATCTGGGACAGGCCAGAAAGTCGGCCTCTGCCCTCCCGGCTGCTCATCTGCAAAGAGGCGAAGCCAGCGGCCAGCCCAGGCCGAGGAACTGAGGGTCCAGCAGCCACAGGCCAAGGAAAGGCCACCTGCGAGACCCCCGTGGCCAGAAGAGGCACTTTGGGGGAAAGGACTGAGCCTGACCTGGCCAGAGGCAGCTTTGGGCGGGGGGACACAAGGAGAAGCTTACGCGCTCAGGGCCAAGAAAAGAGGGGATGTTCTCCCCAAGTCCCCCCGAGGCTTCTCCAGGTGTAGCTTGGACCTTCCCTCCTTCTAGGCTGAGCCCGGCATTGTTCCTGGGGTCCCCCAAGCAGGCCTGGCAAGGACCGCTGCTCTTCTCTCCTGGGGGGACGGGGTGGGGTGGGGGCTGGCCCAGGAGGCAGGCCCTGCGTTGCTCCCCAAAGGGCCGCTTGTGGGCCAAAGGCTCTGGGGGGGGGGAGCTCCAGTGCTGGAGGAGGAGCTGCCTGGGCCGGATCCTGCCGCCCAGAACAGCCTCCCTCCTGCCAGGTTTATGAGCTTACTCCCAGCTCAGAGCTGGGCGGGGCAGCCCCCCCCCCCGCCCCTTGGAGAGCCTCCATCCCTGCAATCCCTCCGCTTCTCCTTTCGCCCAGGAAGGGAAGCTCCAGTGGGCCAGCCAGGCTTCCACACGAGCTGCCAGTAGCCCTGGTGGCAGATGCTGGGGACCTACCTGTGGGGGGGGGGAGGGGAGGCTGCTCGGCTGCTGACCATGGGGCCCCCCCAGCCCCAACCTCTCTGGCGACTTCTCTGCATCAGCCAGTCCAACACATTTTACTCTCCCAAAGCCGTTTCCCTGCAATCCTCCCCATAGACGACGCTGAGGCCTCTTTTTCCACTTCCAGTAAACTTCTTCACTAACTGCATTTCTTCTACTTTTCCTTCCTTACTTTTCCTCCTCCAGGAGCTGAAGGCCTCCCCTCCCCCACCTCTGATCTTCCTCACGGGAACTTCTGTGGGGCGGACTTGACAGAGAGATGCCTGGGGTGGTTCTCGTGACTCTTGGGGGTGGGGAGGTTGACTGGCCTTTCCTCATCAAGTAGGAGACCTGGCATCAGAAGGTGATAGCACACCTGCAAGCCAGGTGGCTCTTTCAAAGCCCTAGCATTCGGGGCAGAGCAGCTGCCAGCCTGGGCTGCCGGGCGAGGGAAGTCCCTCCCTGGGGGATGGGGCTGGAGGGCAAGGGCAAAAGGCTGGCCCAGCTGCCCAATTTCCCCAGGAAGGGGCCATGCAGTATCCAATCTGGGTCGCCTTCAAAGCCTTCGGAGTCATGCTGGAGCCCATCCTTGGGGAAAGTTCTCCCCAGCAGGGTGTGTGCTTAGAGCTGTTCTGTGCCTGGCATTTGTGTGTTTGCCTGGCTGTGTCTGGCTTTTTAGTTCTTGACCAGGGTGTTGATGGCTGGCAGGCAGTGCCCTCATCTGCCCACTGCACTAATCACGGCTCCAGCTCGGGACGGGAGCCTCCATGCCAGCCTGCCAGTCTGCCGAGAGGGTGGGCATCCCCTCACTTCACTTCCCCAGTTAAACCAAGCCTTTCCCTCCACTTCCTGTGTTTTTTTTTGTAGTTCTGTGCCAAAAAGGCCTTTTGAAAGCTAAAAGCCAGGTGGTTTTGCCTTCCGTACAGCAGAAGAGTCCTGCTTTCCACAAAATGTAAGAGCAACGTGGCAGATTTCGGGCTCCACAGCAACACTTTGGGGCCTTTAGGGACCTACCGATGTGGCAAGCCACTCGCTGCCCTTCAGCCCAGAACAAGGCGAGCAGCGGTGCCGGCCCAAGGGCTGTGCTGCCGGGTGTGTGCGTGCACCGCTTCAAACGTGTGTACCTGAGCTGCAGGGACTGGAAAGGCAGCATTTTTGCCTGCAAACTCACTCTGGAGGAGAACAGAAGGCGGGCAGCATTTCAAGAGGCAAATTTCTCCCCGCTAGCATCCAGCTGTGGCGAGTGATGCAAAACAGATCCAGGCCTCTGATCCAGGAAGAGCTGTGCTGATCAAAGTGAACAGAATGGAGCTGGAAGGGACCCTGGAGGTCTTCTAGTCCAACCCCCTGCTCAAGCAGGAGACCCTATACAATTACAGACAGGTGGTTGTCCAACCTCTTCTTAAAAGGCTCCAGTGATGGAGCAACCACAACTTCTGGAGGCCGGCTGTTCCGCTGGTTAATGGTTCTCACTTTTAAGGAAGCTTCTCCTTAGTTCTAGGTTGCTTCTCTCTTTGATTTCCATCCAGGAAGCCCAGGGATTCTTGCATTCAGATCCCCGGCAGGGATCCTGCAGCTGCTCAGGCTTCCGGGGGACCAGGAAGCTTCCCCCCACCTCCCTCCCACCCGGAAGTTGCTGAGCTCGGCCCCCTTCTGCATCAAACAGCAAACCCAGACTCCCAACTGTGCAGCGTGTTTCCTAAGGTGCTCCTGGAGGACCCTGCAGGGCCACAATACTTTGGGAGAGAGCAAGCCAGGCACGATGCTCTGCTCCTTTCCCCTCTCTGGCTCTCCACCTGCAACCAGGGACCCTTCTCCCCCTCTGGGTGCTGCGTGGGGCTGGGTCCTTTGACTGCCTTTTTTGCCCACTCTGGGACATCTTGGTTTGGGGACCTGTCTTCTGCCTCGTGTTGGCAAGGGTGAAGATGCTGGCACTGCCTTTGAGAGAATTCACTTGGTCCGAATTCGGATCTCCCCCTTCTGACTCGGATTCCGCCTAGGCTGATGGGCACCAAGCCGGCAAGCGACAACCTGTCGCCGCAGCTTTTCACGCCGCCTCCTGCCCACAAGCGTTGCACACACCCTCTAAAAAGCAGCTGGCACCTTTCTCCTCGAACCCCTGTGACGCCTTGTCCTGCGAGGAGAAGAGTTTTGTGGCCGCAAAATGAGGAAAGTGAGGACAGAGGAGCGGCGGGAAGGTGACTAAGGGAACATGATACTCACCCAAACTGGGTTTATTTCGTGACGAAGCTTTGTGACTGTTATAAGGGCCCGTTTCTTCCCAGTGACTCCCTTCCTCTCCCATATCAGCCTTTTGATCGGCTCCAATGAAGTCCGTCATGGGACATCGGCCCCTCCGGGAAGCTGCCTGCCCGCCAGGTGCCTCTCCCATAAAAGCAGCAGCAGGCGCAGGCAGGACCCAGAAGGCCTGGCCCTGGCCCCCCCCTTCCCCCCCCCCAGGCCCCCTGTTCACTTTAAGATGTGCACCGAGCATTTCCCACGACTGGCTGCAAGCCCCCTTTCATGGCAACGTTCGTTCATGGCAACATCTGGACTTGCCAGATTTACACCCGGAAAGAAACGTCTTTGGGCAGATCTGGGCTCTCCGGCTGCTCCCCGAGTTTCTGCTGGGCTGAGTGGAACTGGAGGGTGGCTGTGCTGTCCAGAAAAGAGGGAGAGATGCCCTGCAGGGGCCTGGGGAGCAGGGAGGAAACCTGCCTTCCTGGCCTCACTCGCTCTTTGGGTCCACTCCAGGAGCGTCTTCCTCGTCGCTGTCTGGCCCCACCAGATCCACAGGGAGCACACGAAGAGAGTCGTACTTGGGGGGCGGAGTGCCCGGCTCAGAGCCAGCCCCTTGAGCATCTGGGGCCCCACCCCCCGGGCCCTCAGCTGCTGCCGCCTTCTCCTCCTCCCCGCAGAAGCCCAGGTTGGTGTAGGCCTCCACTTTCTCGCAGATGGACGGGAGGGCATCTGGGGGCCTGCGGGCTGGCTTCCACTTCAGCCCCTTGCCCCAGGAGATTAGCTTCAGGACACTGATCCAGACGAAGTCGATGAGGATCTCCCCAAACTCGATGAGGCACAAGACGGAGCCCCCCATCCAGAAGCCGAACTGCCCGCCGAGGCTGGAGAGGAGCCAGACAATCTGCCGCGGGGAGAGAGAGAGAGAGGCCCGGGGTGAAGGTTGGCCGGTTCAGACGTCCCCAAAGCAAAGATGCAGGGAGGGGCCTCGCAGCTTGGCCCTGGGGGGGGGGGTCTGGAGCTGGGCTGTTCCTCGCCCTTATGGTCCCACACGAGGCCAACATGGAGGTGAGGACTGCTCACCAATCCAGCTCCTGAAGCCAAGGCCAGACTTCTAAAATTTCGAATTTCGGATCCTGAAAATTGCCTGTTTCTCCTCCGTCGCAAGGAGCTTTGAGCCGCTGCTTGGAGTTTCCTCCTTTTGCTTGCAGAGCAACCCAGTCACCCCACTGCTTCAGGTCAGCCCCTCCCGGTTTTCCCAGATGTCGACATTGTTCCCACCGCATGCAAAGCAGGGCTTGCTGCTAAGCATGAGTGGAGTGCACACCCTCCTCCCACGGGACATTCCACATCAGAGGAGGCCCCTGCCGCTGCGTTGCCCATCCCTGCTTGTCAATGACCTCAGCCGCCTCTGGGGGGGGACACAAGCCTCGCAGGACCTCTGGGGAAGGAGGGGGCTGGACCGAGGACCGGACCTCTTGCCATCTCAGCGGGGCCACTTACCGTGGTTGCTGCAGACTCTGAGATGGTGCGGTAGTTGTATTCCTGGAAGTAGATGCTGAGCTTGATGATTCCGTTTCTGTGACGGAAAAATAAGGAGCATTCAGGGCTCCTCACCGTGTGAGACAAGACCTCCTTTCTGTCTCCACCCCTTTTCTAACAGCTTGCGGGTTTTCGGAAGGTTCGCAGAAGAACAGACTCACAAGAGTTTGAAGGTGCTTCCAAGGACCTGAGGGCAAGGTCTGCTCCAGCATCCCTCACAGAGGACCATCCAATCTCTAGCTGGCCCTTCAGCAAGGAACTGGCCACTTCGCGTGCGAGCCTGCTCCCTTGGCGGAGAGCTCATACAATCAGGATCCTCCTGATACCCCAGCCTGAGCCTCCAACCATGTGGTTCTGGTTCTGTCACGCAGAGAAGGTCCCCTCCCTCCTCTATGTGAGCCTGCTTTGGGTTTCTGAAGGGCGCTTTCATATCTTGCCCTCTGGGTGACCATAGTCATGTCGTACCCACAGAGCCTGATCAAGACCCACAGAGTGGACCCATTACTTCCCATGATCTGGACTCCATGATCCTGCTCATGCAAATCGAGTTTTGCCCTTCTAGCACCTCTAGCACACGGATGATGGTGGTTGAAAACGACAGCCCGGTGCCTTCATGCGGATTACCAGCTCTCTCCCATCCCATACTCACACTTTTCCAAACAGAACTTGACATGATGTCCCATCCAGTCAGCCTTGACTATATAGATCGGGGGTCCCCAACCCCCAGGCTGCAGCCCACTGTCAGGCCTCAGTCTGCTTGAAACTGGGTCGTGTGAGCGATGGGGAAATGCTCATGCGCGAAGCTCCACTCACACGAGCAGAGTGCTAGAGTGGAGGGCGCTTGTGCTCACGCACAAAGCTGCATTCACATGCCCCCCGCTCTGCCCGGCCTGGGCCGCCAAGGTGGGAAGGTTGGGGACCACTGATACAGATACTTTCTCTAGCTTTGCTGGCTGAGGAATTCTGGGAGTTGAAGTCCACAAGTCTTAAAGTTGCCAAGGTTGGAGACCTCTGCTCTAGGTGATCTACCCCGACCTGCTTCTTCAGGTCTTTCAATCTCTGAGTCTTCTCCTTCAACACTCTCTCAGCTTGTCTTCTGCAAATGTTTGAAGTGTCTCCTCAACTCCCTTAGTCAAGATCTTGATCAAAACGTTGAACGGCAAAGAGCCCTGTGGCCAGCCCTAGAAACTTCCCTCCAGATTGGTGGACTCTTGGGACGCGGCAATTGTGGGAATAGATCTAAGAGCGTCGTCATCCACTTCATCCCTTTCCCAAGGAGACCATCCTCAGATACTCTGCTGAAGGTGCCCATGTGTGCGCGCCAGGGTCTCGGTCTCCTCCTCTCCCACTCCAGGGGGCTGAGTCACATCCAGCCAGCAGGTTGAAAGGCCAGGCTGGGCTGCTGAAGTCTCAGAAGCCAAAGGGGGCTTTGGTGGGCTTCCCTCTGCCCCTGCCAGGCACCCCCACCCTCAAAGCAGAGAGGACAGAACTAGAGCCATGGCAAACTGGACGGGACTTCACAGGGGCATGTGCAATGTTTTGAGCCAGAAGGCGGGAGCTGTGACAAAACGGGTTTGAGGGAAGTTCAAGGGAAGAGGGAAGCTTGGACAGATACATACGCAGGTTATTTCGGACAGAAAGGGAAAGGCGTTTGGTTTCACTGCAGGGATGGGGAACAGCTGCAGGATTGGGCCCTTGTGCAGAGACACAAGTTGCAGGTACTTGTGATGGGCAAGGAAGCAGAACTGGCCAGGCTTCCTCCCCCTGGTTGACCCACAAGTGAGCCAGGCTCCCACGGAGAGAGGGCAGAAGCCCCTATTCGCCTTCCAAGGGACATTTCCCTTCCTACACTCAGGACTGGCTGAGCCATTGGGGTGACTCAGGGCCACTCGGTCAACATCAGGAGAAAGTCCAGGATGAAGCGGGTCCCTCCCCCATGGTCCAACCTCTCTCCCCCATGGTCCTCGTGTGGGGAGGGCTGCCCCTCTGGGCTTTTCCCTCCGCCCAGGAGCTGCAACCGATGCTTCCTGCCACATCAGCCTCAACCAAGAATAGAAACGCTGACGCACCTGTCCAGAGTCACTTTGGTTGACGTGTCTCTTTCGTAAGATAAAATATGGAAAATCCAGTCCTAGAAGAGGAAAGTAAAGGACACAAGCAGGTCACGGTAGATGACAGATCGTCTTACGGGGACCAAGAAGTGGGACTTTTCTGCTTAAATACCCTTTTTACTTCCATGGGCTTTTAGAATTTAAGTCAAGGGTCTTCAAACTTGGCAAGTTTAAGACTTGCGGACTTCAACTCCCAGAATTCCTGAGCTAACATGACTGGAGGAGGAATTCTGGGAGTTGAAGTCCACAAGTCTTAAAGCCGTCAAGTTTGAAGGCCCCTGATTTAAACTATTGAACAGGGGTCCACGAAGGGTTGTTAAGGCGCCCCCGCCCCCAGAAATATCAAGATGGCCGCCCAGCCTCCCTTGTCCGGCCCTTGGAAAGGCAGGTGAGGAGCTGGCCTCAGGTAGGACTCACCTCTGAAGCTTCGGAGGGCCACTCTGCCATGGAAATGGTCATCTTGTACTGGGTGTTGCTGGAGGAAGAGATGAAAGGTCAGACTTTTCCCTTGCCCCCCCCCCCCCCCCCCCCCCCCCATTGGCTCTGCTCAACCACTCTTACTTGCAGGTCTCCTTGCAAGATTGGATGCAATCCTGCCGGTGCTCCTGGCTCATGCGCAGGATGGAGTAGCAGTAGGCTGTGGGGAAGGAAACAGCGTCTTGGCCCAAGGTAGAATTTGAGCTTCCATGTCACCTTTAATTCTGAAGGAGAGACGCCTCGAACCAAAGCTTTCGCTAAGGATTCAGAGCTCCTTGTCTCTCTCTGTTGGGAGCAGCACACCTGGGCGTCTAGGAAGGGGCTTTGGCTGGCATTCACTGGGCTCTCAGATTCCCTCCCCATGGCGCCCCCCCCCGGTGGCCCCGTTGTCTTGCTGGGTCCCTACAGCCATGGGGTCGTTCCCTCCATTTCCTCACCCCAGGATGGATAGTCCTCGTTGTTGCAGTAATGGGCTCCTTTGGGCAGCGGATAGGAATAGTGGGCACACTGGCAGGTCTTCACTATCTTGGCTTGGAGGCAGGAGCGCAGGCAGGCCTGGAAGAGGACGGGGCCCTGTTGGCCGGGTGCTACCCAAGAGCAGGGCCCAGCCCCAGCCCCTGGGCGCTACCACCTCCCCCTTGCCGGTTCCCAGCTGAATTCCTCCAAGAGGCCCCCACAAGAGGGGCCACAAGAGCTCTTGGGAATCTCGCCCCCCCCCCCCCGCCTGGCACCGAGAGGGGCTCCTTGGGGAACGGGGGGAGGGGAGGAACAGCAGCATTGCTCACCTGGATGGAGTACATGGTTTTGTACTGGCTTCGGAAGGGGGCCATCTTGCTGCCAGGGTGGGAGCAGTTGGCACAGGCCCCCATCTCCTTGACCTGCAAAGAGGAACCATTAGAGAACCCACCTGAGTAGCTCTCCCTAGATCTGGAGAACAGCCCTTTCCATCTGGGGGCAGGGCAGAGGAGGGGCGCCCAGAGATGAAAGACCCCTCTTCCACAAAGGCCTTGCTGTGCCCCAGTGGCAGCTCCTTCCAGAGGTCTGAGCTGGTCTCTGGCAGGAATCCTCAAGCCAAGGGCCACAGCAGGGTGCCAGCTTGTATTCCCCACCCCCATTTTCAAGAGACTCTGGCTAGAAAAGGGCCCCACCCATCGAGGAGGGAGGCGGCCAGCACAAAGAGTTCCTGCAGTGACGGATTTTCTAAGGAAATGCACGAGGGATTATAAAAGGAGGG